CTGCCTCGTTACCAAGGTGTCCTCCAGAATCTGAACCCAGAAGGTGCAGGGAGGGAGGGGACCCTCCTGGCAGCCTTGGTTCCCCACCATGTCCCTGGCTTCCAGTTGGTGCCCCAACCATCACAGAGGGAAAACCGGTCACAATGGCCCCTCCTGCCCCAACACAACTCAATTTCTCTCCAGACAAACAAAAAGCCTGGAAACAGGGCAGAAAGAACAGCCTGAACCCCAAGGCCACCAGCCCAGGCAAAATCCGTCTTCCAGGTCAGGGGCCCGCTGTGAAGGGGAGGTTGCTGCCGCTGTCAGAGGTGGGCTCCAGGTCACCAGGGGCTGGTGGCTGAGTGTCTTGCCTGTGCAGAGCTGCTGGTGGGCCTTTGGCTGGGAACCAACTGCAGCCTGAAGTCCTGGTGGCATGTCATGTTGGGAGCCCTTTTTAAAAATATATTTTTCCTTTATTGATTTTATTCTTTATTTTTTATTTTTATAATTTTTCCCCTTTGTTGATTTTTAGAGAACGAGGAAGAGGGAGATGGAGAAACATCAATGAAAGAGAACATGGATTGGCCGCCTCCCTTATGCCCCCCCACTGGGGACTTGGCCCACAACCTGGGCATGTGCCCTGGCTGAGAATCGAACCAGCGACTTCTTGGTGTATGGGTCGATGCTCAACCACTGAGCCACACCGGCTGGGCCTGGGGAGCCTTTTTCTTCTGCGGAATTTTCTTATTTAGAAGGAGCAAAACATGCTATTCCTTAGCAAGACCAGGGCAAGCTTCCGGACACGGCCTGAGATGAGGGGACAGAGCAAGTTCTGGAGACCCAGACCCGAGTGCAGAGGCGCCCCTGGCCAAGCTGCTCCAGTAAGGCCGCCACCTCCTGCTGTGTCCAGAGCTGGCCCACTAGCCCTGTGGCGCCGTGTGCTCAGGTCCCACAGACACAAGCTGAGGACAAAGTTTCTCCTTCAGGTGCCACAGCTGGTGGGCCTAGCTGTTGTGTCCCTGGCTCTGTGCACTCCTTCAACCTTCAATGTGAGTGCAGCTAAACCTAAGGACAGATAACACCAGGGGACAAATAACCAAAACTCCATTAAAGGTGGGAGAGGACTGAGGGACCGGGGTGCTGCAGCCAGCCTGGCTTGAGATACCTGGGACAAGGTACAGGACCCCAACGAAGATACTAAGTGGAGTGACATCTTATGAACAAAGGGCATCCTGGCCTCCAAGAAAACTTGAAGGAACTGGAAAGGGGCCCCAGAAAAGGAGGAGCAGCAAGTCCTTCGTCACTGTTGTGACAACATACAAAGAGATGACTGGAGGAACTGGAGGATGACAAAGACAAATTTAACGAGGAAGGCGAATAAGCTATTGAAACGTGCAGGCAGCAGACTGGCTGAGTGGGAAGCAACGAAACCAAGGAACAAATTTGGAGACGTTTTGGAGCTCACAGGAAAGGATTATGTTCAGGAAGTTACCAAAGCTGTAGAGCTTGTGAGTGATCTTACACCTTTACAAACAAGGGACTCCCCTCTGTGCCGATAAATCAGCACTTCAGTGGACATGCAGGAAGTTTCCTGACATCAAGTTCATCAGAGCCATTTCAACAACCTGCATACCAATGATCCTGATAGGAATCCGCCCACAGTATTTGTTTACCTTGAGGGTGATGTCAAGGCTCAATTCATTGGACCTCTAGTGTTTGGTGGCATGAACCTGACAATGGATATGTTGGAGTGGAAACTCTCCGAGCCTGGAACAATCGACAAACCTGGAGGAAAACCCTAAGAAACCAATTGAAGACACATTGCTGTCCTTGGCGAGGAGCTCAGTCCCCATGAGCAGGGGCAGCATTCCCAGGATGACTGAGGCTGCACCTCAGTAATATGCTGAGCTTTCTTTTTTTTTCTTTTTTTTTTTAATCATCCTCACCCAAGGACATTTTTTTTTTGTTTAGGTAGAGTGGGAGGGAGAGAGAGGAAGAGAGAGAGAGAGAGAAACATCTACGTGAAAGGGACACATCGAGTGGTTGCCACCCGCACAACCAACCAGGGCCGGGGACAAACTGCAACCGAGGTACGTGCCCTTAGCGGGAACCGAACCCGGGTCTCTCCGGACCACAGGCCGATGCTCTAACCGCTGAGCCAAACCGGCCAGGGCTATGCTGAGCTTTCTTGATGTGATAGATAATGTGGATTTTTTTTTTTTTAATCCTCACCCGAGGACATTTTTCCATTTTTTGTTCAGATAGAGTTGGGAGGGAGGGAGAGAGAGAGAAACATCGACATGAAAGGGACACATCAAGTGGTTGCCACCCGCACAATTGAACCAGGGCTGGGGTCAAACTGCAACCGAGGTACGTGCCCCCAGTGGGAACTGAACCTGGGACTCTCTGGACCGCAGGCCGATGCTCTACCGCTGAGCCAAACCGGCCAGGGCAAGAAATACATTTTTTAAAAATCCACATGATTGCCCTGGCCGGTTTGGCTCAGCGGTTAGAGCATCAACCCGCAGACCAGAGTCCCAGGTTCAGTTCCCACTGGGGGCACGTACTCGGTTGCAGTTTGTCCCTGGCCCCAGCAGGGGTGGTGTGAGTAGCGGCCACTCGAACTAGATGTGTCTCTCTCACATTGATGTTTCTTTTTCTCTCTCATCCTCCCTCTCTTCCTCCCGCTCTGTTTGAGGATAAATGCAAGAATATCCTCGGGTGAGGATAAAAAAAAATGTATTTATTGATTTTAGAGAAAGAAATAGAAACATCAGCTGCCTCCTGCACCCCCCCCCCCCACACACACACACCAGGGATTGGCCTGTACCCTGGGCATGTGCCACACCAGCTGGGCCATCTGGATTTTTTTTTTAAAGGAAAAAGTAGGAATGAATCCTTTGGATTCTAGTCTCTTATAATTTATATATATTTCAAATTTAATAGATGTAAAGATCATTGATGGGAATCCTACACAGTTTCTTATGACTTTTTTTTTATTTATTTTTATTGATTTTAGAGAGGGAGAGAGAGAGAACATTGATTGGCCACCTCCTGCATGCCCCCACTGGGGATTTGGCCCACAACCTGGAATAGAACCGGCATCCTCTTGGTGCATGAGTCGACACTCAACTACTCAGTTCTAAGAGCCACATGGGCCGGGCTCTTAGAACTCTTTCTAAATAAATAACATTTTCTTAAAAAATTAAAAAGCAGCCCTGGTCGGTTTGGCTTAGCGGTTAGAGCATCAGCCTGCGGTCCAGAGAGACCCAGGTTCAATTTCTGCTAAGGGTACATACCTCGGTTGCAGTTTGTTTCTGGCCCTGGTTGGGTCATGCAGGAGGCAGCCACTGGATGTGTCCCTTTCACATCGATGTTTCTCTCTCTCCCTCTCTCTCCATCCCACTCTATCTGAACAAAAAATGGATAAATGTCCTCGGGTGAGGATAAAAAAAAATTAAAAACCAGCTGTTGGCCCTGGTGTGTTTGGCTCAGCGGTTAGAGCATCTGCCTGTGGTCCAGAGAGATGGGGGTTCGGTTCCTGGAACGTATCTTGGTTGTAGTTTGTCCCCGGCCCTGGTTGGGTCGTGTGGGTGGCAGCCAGCCGCTCGATGTGTCCCTTTCACGTTGATGTTTCTCTCTCTCTCTCTTCCTCTCTCTCCCTACAGCTCTATCTGAACAAAAAAATGAAAAAAAAAATTGTCCTCGGGTGAGGATTAAAAACAACAAAAAAAACCTGGGCTAGCTGTTGAAATGGCAAAAAGAAACAAAATTAAACCCAGACCTAAGATAAAAGACAGTAACACAGACCAAAGAATAATCCAAAACTCCCCTATATGCTCATTTTAATGCATCAGCATCTTAAAAATGCACCTGTGCCATGGCCAATTTGTCTCAGTGGTTAGAGTATCAGCCTACAGACCAAAGAGTCATGGGTTCGATTCCGGTCAAGGTTCCCAGACCTTGGTTGTGGTTCAATTGCTGACCCTGGTTGGGGTTGTTCGAGAGGCAACCAGTTGTGTCCCTCTCACATCCATGTTTCTCTCCTTCCCACTTAAAAAAAAAAAAAAAATGCACTACCCTGGCGGGTTTGGCTCAGCAGTTAGAGAGCCTTAGCCTGAGGACCAGAGAGTCCCGGGTTCAGTTCCCGCTAAGGGCACGTACCTAAGTTGCAGTTTGTCCCCGCCACGGTTGGGGTTGTGTGAGTGGCAATCAGTGATGTGTGTCTCTCTCACTTAGATGTGTGTGTCGCCCCCCCACCTCCCAGCTCTATCTGAAGATAAATGCAAAAATGTCTTTGGGTGAGGATAAAAAAAAAAAAAAAATTCACCTGGAAAGCTGATAATATTCTCCTGAAACCGTTAAGATTCTACCCGCAAGAACAACAACAACAAAAACAAAACCGGGATAAAAAGCCCCCAGGACAAGGGGTCTCACCCTAGACCAGCGCGCCTGGGGTTCCACATGCGAGGCCAGCAGCACTGATCTGGGAGTCGGGCCAATGGCAGCCTGCTGCCTGGCCTGCAGGCATTTTGGCCCAGCTGTCAGAGGAGACACCCCGAGAAGGACCAGCACCGGGGGGGCAGGGGGTCACTGCCTCGGAGGGCGACTTCCTAGAGGACTGCTGCCCCCGTGGGTCACCGCCTGGAGCGGTTCCAGCCCGTAGGGTCAGTTCCGCGGGACACGCCCACACCAGTCGCCCGCAGCCGCGCCCCACGCGGGTTCCCGCCCGCCCGCCCCCAGTCCCCATGCACCCCCACCCCCCAGGCGCAAGAACCACGGCCGCCAGTCGGGGGGAGCAGCGCCGGGCCGGGAGACCATCCTACCCCGCCCTAAATTCAAGGAAGGAACCGCCCAGCTGGTCTTCCCGCTGATTGGCTAGACGAAAGGTAGGCCGGCGCTGATTGGCCGGGTGGGACGCCTCTCGGCGTGCTCGCCGCGGCCGCGCCCTGTTCCGCCGCCAGGCCGGGGGCGGCCGCGATTGGCGCGGCCCCGCCCCGCGGCGTCAGTACCCAGCGTGCCGCGCGGCGCTCCTCCGCCGCTAATGTTTTGGCCGACTCAAGATGGCGGTGCAGGAGTCGGCCGCCCAGCTGTCCATGACCCTGAAGGTGCAGGAGTACCCGACCCTCAAGGTGGGTCCGCGGCCGGCGGGCGGCGGGCGCGCCCGGCCGGGGCCGGCGGGCGCGCCCGGGGCCGTTCCCCGCGTCGGCGGGCCGGTGTGCGGGGCCGCTCTGCGAGGTCCGGGGCGCCGGGCTCCCGGGGCGGGGGCCGCCTGCGGGGTGTGCGGGGCCGACTCCCCGAGGGCGGCGGGCCTGCGGCCATGGGCCCACGGGGCGGGGCCTGTGGGGCGTGCGGGTGCGCGTCGCGGGGCTCGGGTCTGCGAGGTCCGGGGCGCCGGGCTTCCCCGGGCGGCGGGGCCTGGGGCTGCGGGGCCGATGGGCGGGGGCGGCGGGGCTCCGCTGCTGCCCGCCTGGAGGGCTGCGTGGCAGGGTGGGGATCCCCGCGTCCGCCCTGCGGATTGCGGCGCCTGCGTCCGAAGCGGCCCGAGCTGCCCCCGACCCCGGGCCGGAGCCGAGGTGGGGGCCGGGCCCCGCGGGGGGGTCGCCCAGCCCAGCCCGAGTGCCGCGGCGGCCCCGGCCCCTCCCTGTGCCCGGCGTCAGGAGGCGGCGTGCGGCGTCCGGTCCCCAGCGGGGGAAGTTGTAAGGAGAGCCCGGCACCCTGATGGAACCCATTTTGCGGGTTGTTGCCAAACCTGAAATACAGCCTTTGCCACTGGGTTCCCGGTTGGGTGACCTTGGATGGTCACTTCGCCAGGTCGCATTCCATGAGGGTGAAAGGGGTGCTCCTCGAGGAAGGGCCGGGCCTTGCTGCCTACCGAGTGCGGAAAGGGCTGGGTGGTGACTGACCAGAGGAAGCCCCTGGGAGTGAATTCCTTCCGCAGCCAAGGTCATAGCGCTCCCGGGGGAGCTGTGGCTGGGCGCCGTGGATTCCTTCGCTGGGGCCCCACCTCTGCGGTGACTGGGGTGGGGGTGCGGCGTGGCCAGGTTGCTGTGAGCCCTGCCCCCTGTGGTCACCGCTTGCTGGAAGACCTCCGGCTCCGAGATGTTTCCCGTCGGATGAGGCTGCGTGAGCTCCCATGTCTGAAGTGGGGGAACCTCATACTGGAAGATGCGGGGCTGGAGCCAGAGCCAGACCGCCCTGCCCTTCCCTAACCATGGTTGACACCGGAGGGGACCTGGAGCTGGCGCCTGTTGGCAAGACCCCTTCAGGGTGTAGGTGGTCAGCGTGCGGCTCACAGAGGACGTGATGCCAAGCTGCCTGAGGCCCCAGCATTAGTGGGGGGACTGTTACCTGCAGGCCTTGTCTCTCTTAGTCCATCATCAGGTTGTCATTTGAGCTGACAGACAAGATCGGAAGGTCAGGACTGATGGTTATTTTTGATCCTGGCTGGTGAATGTGAGGAACCCCAGACAGGAAAGGGTTCCTCCCTCCCGTCCTCTGTCGTTTCACAATCACGAATGTGGCCTGAGTTCGGCAGTTATTAAATAGCCTTTGATTGAAATAGTCGTGCACATACTCACACAGGTAAACAAATATTGTGTCCTTTCAAGTAAGCGTGCTGGGTTTTTAAGAAAGTCTCACTTCTTTTTTAGAATGATTTTAAAAGCAGAGTTTCTGCAGTTAGAGAAGCTGCTTCCACCACTTGCCCTTCCAGCTTGTTTAGGTTCCATTTAGTAAGGCTTGTTATGTTGACACATGTCAGTGCTGAGTTAACATTTTTTCCTAGAAGTTTGCAGGACTGATTCCTCGTGGATGCTGAGATTTCACCAGGAAAATAAGGGTCCTTGACCTGGATGTGTTTGTTAACACAGATTTAGCAGGACATTGGGAGAACTCATGGCTCAGGAGCTGTGCTGTGCAGTCTTGAGCAGGGTCCAGAGCCCGGGCACAGGGTGGGGGCACAGCGCAGATGTCAGGGAAGAAGGGAGGGAGGACTGAGGGCTGGGGTCCTGGATGGGGCCTTGTGCTGCTCTGGTCCAAGGACATGTGTCCGCAGGGTAATGGAATGTACTGCTCAGAGCCCTCAGGTTTGCAGCCCTGGGTCGGTTTGTCACAGCCTCAGGGCCTGGCGCTCCTGGGTACCTGGAGAAGTGGGAAGAGAATGGAGCTGCCTTGAGGTGCTGCTGCCCCTGCTCTAATCTGGTCACCCTGTCCTCACTGGCACCCTGCCCAGGGTAGATAGCATAGGCCTCCCTCCCGCGGCAGACCTCTGGGATGGACGGTTCTTTGTCGTGGGGGCTGCGCACCATGGTGTTTAGCAGTGCCTCCAGCCTCCACCCACAAGGTGTCAGTAGCATGGCCTTTAAAGGTCTCCAGACAGGGCCCCATGTGCCCTGGGGCGCGGGGGGGGGGGGGGGGCAAGAAATCAACCCCTTGAGAACCACTGGTTTTTACATTGCTTTATGGGTGGGGTGGGACGCAGCCTCAGGGTGTGGCCTTGGCTCTGTCCTTACCCTTGAGTGCTCTCGGGTTCGGCGTTGGTCACGCCTCTCAGGCCTCTAGGGACAGAGAGGGAAGAACTTGGATGCCTAGCCCACTACCTTGAACTAATTTTGTTTTTAATATTTTTTCCCTGATTATGAAAATAACTTATGTGTATTCTGTAAGTCATTCTGCTAATCATCCTGTTAATTTTTGCTGTGTTTCTTTTTCTCCCTTTAGATAGCTGAAATTAAATGTTTTTTTTTTTGTTTTTTTCAATTCTCACTTGAGGATTGAAAAAAATGGATATTTTTCTATTTATCTTCAGATAGAGGTTGAGGGGGCGAGAAAGAGAAACATCGATGTGAGACACATCAATTGGTTGCCTCCCGCACGACCCCGGCTAGGGCCAGGGACTGAACCGCAACCGAGGTACGAGCCCTTGACCAGAATCGAACCCACGACTCTGGTCCGCTGGCCGATGCTATAACCACTGAGCCAAACCAACCAGGGCTCAAATGGTATTTTAGAGACATTCTTTGTTACCACCCAAACTGGGTGGTCTGCGCAGCCCAAGAGAAGGGCCTGGCGTTGGTCACCAGGCCACTTGGCTTCAGGGTCTGAGCTGGCCGTGATGGCCGGGGTCCTGTTTGTTGGTGCCTTTGTCTCAATGCCACAACAGTGAGGCCCGGGGCGCGCGGGCTGAGGTTCCAGACACTGAGGCCTCGTGGTCTTCCCACAGCTCTCAGAGAGCCTCCGAGCACCGTGCGCTGCTAGGGGTGCGGGGGTGTCCTGAAGAGAGAGACAAGTACAGTCCCTGTCCTGGCGCAGCTCCTGTTGGTGGGAGGCGGCAGTGAACGAGTGGGCAGGAGGTTTTAGATCCTTTAGCGACCAGGATGAAGTCGAGGCAAGTATGGGGAAGCAGGAGGCTGGAGACCTGTGGGGTGGATACGGTGGCTTCGGTGGGTGGCTGTGGACTTACGTTTTGGGAGGACTGTATGGCTGTGTGGAAGTCTTGGCAGAGCCTGACCCGTTGGCACTCAGTCCCGTGGGAGCGATGTGACTCGGGACTTTCCACAGCCAAGCGCAGGTCATGACTACAGAGCCACTGAGCGCCTGGGCCCACGCAGGTGCCGTGGCTGCAGGTCAGGGAAGCAGAGTGGTCCTGGAAGAAAGCGGTGGCCGGCACACATGACGGCGCATGAACTTCGAAGCACGGTCAGCGTTCTTGGGGAGTGGGGGTACAGGTGCTGACCTGGACCCTGAGCGTGAGCACTGCGTGGCTGCCATGTCTACCAGGCGACTGCTGGGTCTCGTGGGGTGTGAAGTATTCTAGAGTCTTGGTACCTGGAGACCGTTATTTTGAAAACTTCCAAAAAAAGAATTATCTTCTGTTCCAATAACAAATTGATAGCTGATAACTAAACATCACTAGTAGTTGAATGTGTGGACTGTTTAGCCACATGTGGCTCGGAGAAAAGCACCAGCTGTCTCATGGTCTCACTGACCTCAGTCCTGACCTTGACCCGAGTGCTCTCAGCTTCCGCCTCCCCGTGCACGCACACCTCCTGCCCTGCCCACCGTCAGCGTATGCTCAGAGCCACCCAGTCTGGCCTGCTGCTGCAGCCCGGGGCTCTCCCTGCTGCCTCAGTGCCCTCCTGTGGCTCTGGTGGCCCCATCCTGAGCCGTGTCCTCCTCCAGCTGCCGGTCCTCTGTGCTCTACTCCTGTCTCCGGGAGCTCCTGGTCTTACTTGGGGTAAAAACCTGAGTTGTTGGGTGGCCCCCGGCCTTCATGCCTTGGCCTCCTGCTTCCACTTCCCTGTCTCCTCCTCTCCCCTTCTCCCCCACCTCTGCTGCCCTTGGGGCTTGGCCACAGGGGCCTCCCACTGCTGCAGGGCATGCCAGCGTGGCAGGTCCTCGGCGCCTTTGCACTTGTTTGCTTTGCCCAGACTTTCCCCAGGTGTCCGTGTGGCTTGTTTCCCTCACGTGCTCTGGTCTTTGCTCAGGTGTTGCCTTCCCAGCGAGTCTTATTTAGACTGGAAGCCCCACTTGCTCCTTTGCTGGGTTCTTCTTGGCTCCTGCCTGCACCTGACAGTGTCTTTTGCTTCTTTGTCTGTTTTTAACCATAGTTTATAAGCTCTGGGGAGGGAAGAGAAGAAATAATTTCTTTGATTAAAAATTTGACCAAAATATTATTTTGGCAATTCTGTCCAAAGCAGTAAGAATTGAAACAGAAGTAACTGTTAGAATAAGTGAGACATAATGTGTTTATGTGTCCATTAAATGCAAGCCAACTAACTGGGAAGTGATCACAGCGACTAAGAAAGGTCAGCACAGTAACTGGGCACGTGATAGACGCGCACACCCGTTTTCTGTGACTCAGCAGCGGCAGTGAAAGCACGGCATTCACAGCAGCAGCAGCAGCGCAGCGAGCTGGCCCTCGCTGGCACGGGGACGGCTGCGTTTCTGTCCGTTGTGTTTGTCTGAACACGTGTGGCAGCTGTGCGACCACCACCTGCCTTGCGCTCGATGAGGACTTTCTTCGTAAAAGGAAGCTGCAGGAAGGGCCGGGCCCTGATCGACACCAGGGTGGGTGTGAAGTGCCCAAGCAACAACCTCGCTGCACGGCAGCTGCCTTCCGTGTGGGTGT